TTACTGACAGTGGTTTTCTGAAGTGTTCCTGAGCCCATGTGGTGATGTCCTTTACACACTGATGTCGGTTTTTGATGCAGTACCGCCTGAGGGATCGAAGGTCACGGGCATTCAATGTTGGTTTTCGGCCTTGTCGCTTACGTGCAGTGATTCCTCCAGATTCTCTGAACCTTTTGACGATATTACGGACCGTAGATGATGAAATCCCTAAATTTCATGCAGTAGCTCGTTGAGGAATCTTGTTCTTAAACTGTTCGACAATCAGCTCACGCATTTGTTCACTAAGTGGTGACCCTCGCCCCATCCTTGTTTGTGAATGACTGAGCATTTCAGGGAAGCTGCTTTTATACCCAATCATGGCACCCACCTGTTCCCAATTAGCCCGTTCACCTGTGGAATGTTCCAAATAAGTGTTTGATGAGCATTCCTCAACTTTCTCAGTCTTTTTTGCCACTTGTGCCAGCTTTTTTGAAACATGTTGCAGGCATCAAATTCCAAATGAGCTAATATTTACAAAAAATTACAAAGTTTACCTGTTCGAACATTAAGTAACTTGTCTTTGCAGTGTATTCAATTGAATATAGGTTGAAAAGGATTTGCAAATCATTGTATTCTGTTTTTATTTACGGTTTACACAACGTGCCAACTTCACTGGTTTTGGGTTTTGTAGGTAAATTAAATGAACTTAAAATGATATTTTATGCCAAGCTAATATCCGTAACAAAACTTTGTGTTAACATGTTGATTTTGTGGCAGGAATGACACTGAAGTTTGGGGAGCTGTCAGCCCTCCTCCTCCAAATGATACTTATACACAGTTCTCCCCTTCCTGCATTCCTTTGGTACTGTTCTGCAAGTGGGAGAGCCCACCGTTCAAATATTGAAGAATTAAACATGCAAAGCAAGTGATATTAATTCTAATCGTATAAAAAGGAAAGAATCAAACCAGGGAGTTTTACTGATGGGACCGGCATTTCACATCAGTGACATCAGAGCCCTGGGCCACAGTCTATTAGATCACACCCACAGATTGCTTGCTCTTGAGTTTGCCTAAATTTGCTCTTGCTCCTATTGCTGCTCTTCCAATCTATTGCCTATGACCCGTCAGTTTAAGTCTGCACCCACCAGAAACTCTGCTAAAGCCCTGACCTGACTATAAAACTACAAAGACTCCAATATTCACACATTTGTTCTCTGGCTTGGACCTCTGTTCCTGTTCCTTGTTCTTGACTTGTGAACTGCAGAAATGACGACTGCAACTCCGCAGCTCCCCCCACCCCACCCCGCACAATCTTCCAGTTTGCCAGAAACCAGCAACTATTGAAAGAAAAGACACTTAAAGAAACACTCTGAAATGAAAAAGGTCTGGCAAAGCTGCCACAACAACCCCAGCTGAAGGGAGGGTGAGATGTTGATCCAGCTGCCTGCTGAGAAAGATGGATCGAGGTACTGACTCCAGTCGAGTTAGCCATGCGGGAGCCGACATTTTCCAAAAATGCCCAGGTGTGCCAGAGGAGGGCCTGCTGCCGCTCCCTCCACTGTAACTTCTCATCTGTCCATCAGAACTGTCAGATGAAACAATACATTTTTGTTAATGCTAGACTTTTTAAGAAATGAATGTGATACACCAAAACAAGGATCTCCCCTAAAATTAGAATGAGTACTGAATTGCTCTACCCTCTTCCCTGGTGCTTCTCAAACAGTGCATTTGTGAGTGTATGAAGTGTGACGGTCACTGTATACCTTGGCCAAGAACTCCATAGCAGCCTGCAGATTTCAAAACTAAAGTAATTAATTGGCTATCAGTTTTCCCTTGTCAAAAAGGGTGGTGACTCGAGGTGACTGTAATGTTATGTTAAATTCTGTTATTACCAAGACCAAGGGGTAATATTTTTGGCTCAGGTTCTTTGTTTGTCAGCAGGATTACGGAAAAACTACTCACGTGATTTTCAGAAAATTGGTGTAAGGGCGTAGCATGGGCCAAAGAAGAAACCATTAAATTTTGGAGCAGATCCAAATCACAGCGCAGATAAATTTACACTGTTGTTTACATTGTGAGATAGGGCATTTGGCTCTGGCAGGGTCTGTGCTCTGAATGTCCTTCAAGTTTAATAAAATACTGAACTTATTGTTTCTGATAGCCAAAGTTGAGTGCAATCACTCTCCTTCACCTCGTGTTTATGGTGCATAATTTTGAGTTATTACTTATTGTTACATACTTTGACAGCAGACAACTGACCTAAAGACTATTTTAACTATAAAATACATACACTTGGTTGCCTCTAGAAACCAGCTTTGACCCTGTTTTAAACTTTTTGGGTAATCTTAGTGCCATTTGTAGTCGTAAAGAAAAATATGAAGTCTGGTAAAAACACAAAAGCCTTACAGTATATATATTTTGAAAGTGGAACAATAAACTCAACAGTCTGAGGTTAAAAAAATGATATTCATGATAGAGCAAGTGAGGGGGGAGGGTGATGCAAGAGGTTGAAATGCGAAAATGGCAGAGGAACTTTATCAAGTAGCCTAAGTAATCAAACAATTCATGGTCAAGTGTCTTGTACTTACCTCCAGTGGAAGAACAAAGACCCGGTGACAGAAGACACTTGATGAACTTAATATGATATTATGCTCAAGCATATGTAGCAGTGGTAAGACTCGCTTTTGTGCAGACATTTTAATGATATGTACTGTATGAGACATGAGCAGAGAAGCTACCGCATCCTTCCAGGCCCCTGAACGTGACTCACTTACGTCCTCCAACTAGAAATAAGATTACCAGGCTTGTCTGGAGATCTGCCTCTAAAAGTGCATTTTTGGATTTTATTCCTGTCAGCAGTTCAAGGTGTCCTTACTTATTCTATATTCAGATACGAGGAAAAAAAAAAAACACCTTGGGTGCCTTATAAATAAAACAGTAGGGCCTCAGTATTCTTTGTGATGCTTGCCACCAGGGATTTCCATGTCTCAGCTCTCAGTCCTGATGGTGTGCAGATATTTGGATTCTGATGAGTATATTTCTTTGGGTTCCTTGTATTTGTTATGTACTACCACATCACCGTTTTTGTTTTCAGGAGTTGGCAGAACATTTTGTTCCATCTGGCAGTCATGTCAAACATGCCAGAGTAAAAGTTTGATCTTTCTGCCCCATCATGCCAAACATACCTTATTATTTCTTTGAGATGCCAGAATGTAGACAACAGCTCTCTCCCATTTCTCAAAGCTCCAGAGGACACATCCTAACATTCAAAAGATTTTCTTCAGTGCTGTACAATGCGAATCTTAAAAAGGTGGCAAAGTCATTTTTGCCCCTTGAATGGTTGACACTTGTTTGATCACTGCAGTGGCTGATGTGTCCGCCTACAGCCACGTTTGCTTTTGAGGTGTCCTTGAGCAGAATGCAGAATCTCTCCTTGTTCACACTTTGTAACTTGTGATGCAGCCTTGTTAGGTCTGGGCACAGTAGTCCCACTCATTTACATTTCCTCCTCAAAGGCTGCTATTGAGAGAATGAAAGTCTAATTAACAAATTGTTTGTTGAGATAGTTGTGATATTGTTTAAATAAAGCCCTGTGGGCTACATCTAATGATTCTTTTTCTTATCAGTTAGAGAACAGTATTAACATTACCCAGGCGAGATTCCCACAGGAGCCATTCATGCTGAGAGATTCATTCCCTCACTGAACTGAATGGAGCTGTGGTTACTGCTGTAAAAATATGGGCCTTACAGAAATGTCTTCTTCTAAGTGAAATGTGGCTGTTTTTGTATTCACTAATTGTGACTGTTGGAGAGCCTGACAGCTTTTTTAAACCATTTAGCATTAACATATTTATGACTGCACTTTTTATGCCTCCATGCTGGTGACAGCCATGGCCGAAGCATTATGTTTTTGGGTTGTCTGTCCATATATACTTACGCCTCATGTCATGAACATGATATCTCAAGAATGCCTTGAGGAGATTTCTTTGAATTTAGCACAAATGTCCGCTTGGACTTAAGAATTAACTGATTAGGTATTGGTGGTCAAAGGTCAATGTCACTGTGACCTTGCATCTGTCTTATTCTCATGAACATATTATCTCAAGAAAGCCTTGAGGAAATGTATTCAAATTTGGCACAGATGTTCACTTGGATCCAAGGATGAACATATTAGAATTTGATGGTCGAAGGTCAGTGTCACTGTGACCTTGGGTCTGTCTTATTCTCATGAACATACTGTAATATCTCATGAAGGCCTTGAGGGAATTTACTCAAATTTGGCACAGATGTTCACTTGGACCCAAAGATGAACAGATTAGAATTTGGTGGTCGAAGGTCAGTGTGACCACACAAAACATTTTGTCCATAACTGAAGAATTCATAACTTAATTATGACATTTCATACAACTGTCTAATAAGATGATGATGTAATGACATTTTAATTTTAAAACGGCAAAGGTCAGCTTCACTGTGACATCATAATGTTCTCCAAAAACACTTTTCTGGCCATTATTCAATGTTATAACTCGGGATCAGAAGGAGAGATGTTTGGTCAGATACTGAATTAGTGACACTAGTCATGGGTGTCCACCTTGAAACTCTGCTAATTGTATAGATCTTCTGTGCTGCTAGGTTGAAGATGTGTGTGAAGCTTTTTTGTTTTAGAATACGTGGCTTCTTTGTAGCAACATCCATAGCCTATTTGAAGCATTGATAACTGTCGTGGTTACTTAGGCGTCTGGACAGACATGGATGTAAACTGTAACTGCAACTTGACTGGTTTGCAGAGGCATATAACCACAAGACGGTGTTCCTGGTTTCTTTTTGTGGCTGAGCTGTTGTCCTGTATGTTAGATTGTGTGTATGCAGGTGTGTGTGTGCATGTTAATACCTGCTTATCCCAATTGTGCATTTCTTACCATAACAGGGTCATTTATCTTTGTAAACCAGAATACAGCACATGGTCAATATGTGATTAAGATGTACAGGCCGGTGTATTGATAGCATGTCTCTGTTTGCAGGCCACTGCGGGAAAACATTTGCAATCCTTCAAAGATTTCTAAGCAGCTCTGTCCCAAACACCAAGTGGCTCCTCGTTGTGGATGACGACACACTTATCAGGTATGTAATTATGATCTGGAAATAGGTATTCAACATGGTGCTTCTCCCCCTTTTTTTAACAGTGTCTCATTCTTTAAATGCCATGGCTTCATTTTTCTCAAAGTTTGAGTGACATTTATTCATAAATTTTGCAACAGATTCTGTCTCACAGCCATGAAAAGGTTTGCACGGAGAAAGAGAGAAACGCCTGGAATGGAGTCATTTTGGGAAAAATGAGTTCCAGAGATATTACCATCCTGTCGAACATCTAAAAAGCCCAGTACATAAATTCAAGTCCAGCTGGCTTCACTTTATATCTGTCAGGTTGCCCCTTCATATGGAAGCCTCTGGATGTTTAATAGTGCCTGAGGGAGAGCAGTTATTTCAGCTTCTAAATGGACAGTTTCATATGTGTGTCTGTGTGCAGGCATGTGTGTACTATGACGATGAGTGTGTGATGAGTTTGATCTGTGGTTCATGTAGCCTCTCTAGACTGCAAGTCTTGCTGAGCTGTTACAACCCCTCAGAACCAGTGTGTCTCGGGGAGAGGTACGGCTACGGCCTGAGCCAAGGCGGCTACAGCTACATCACGGGAGGTGGAGGGTGAGTTTCGCAGCTCAGATGCTTGGGGAATAATGATGAAAGATACAGATGCAGCAGAGGGACTATAAAATAATAAAATGGAAAAATGGAAACCCTGTAATCTGTAATTTACAGATGAACCATTTAAAAGTGTTTTGCTCCCTTAAGGGAAACTGTGGTTTGTAGGCTGCATTACAGTAAAGATACTCAATAGAAATGTGGAATAAATCAACGCAGAATATAGTAAACAGACGGTCATTGGGTGATAAGATGAGACAGGGAGTCAATGCTTAATACTCACACTACATTATACAAACTGTTGACTACCGCAAGAAAATGTATAGCACAAAAATAACAGTCCTAAAAGATCCATATTTTCTTATTACGTGCAAGAAAAAGTGGGCAGTAAGCACAAGTTGTATGTCAGCTGTCCGTGCTGGAGGAAAGCTGCACAACAGATAAATCTTGAGCTGTGAGTGAGCTGTGTGAGAAACTCTATTTAGGGACACTTGAGTCACTCTGACACTATACAGCACTGCAACTGCCAGTTTTCTCAATAGTGATATGTTCTAATAACTGTTTTGAGTGGCAATGAGCAATTTTTCTTGGCAGCCCAGGATTTGTTGTTTCATGTGTAATTACGTCTCTCTTCAAAGAGATGTCAAATCATTGTTGTGCAGAGCCGATTCACAGAAAACCACATTTCCCTCTCCGCTTGATTCCCACTTTCACTCACTTCTCTCTCACCCTCTCACCGGCTGAATACAATAAGCACGCTGAACCTTAAGATGACAGCTGAGAGGCATGCTTATTATTTTCTGGTCATTTCCAACATTGCTTCTCCACTAATATTTTACAGCGCAGCTAAATCAGCTGTGTTATGTATCTATTTTTATGTTTCTGTGTCGCTGCAGTATGGTGTTCAGCAGAGAGGCTGTGGTCCGGCTTCTTAACAGTGGCTGTAAGTGCTACAGCAATGACGCGCCAGATGACATGGTGCTGGGAATGTGTCTCAATGCCCTTGGACTTCCTGTCACACACAGTCCTCTCTTCCACCAGGTTGTATTCACACTCTTACAGTGCATTATTTGTGTCTCCCTCTGTGTATCTGTAGCTATGCTGGGACTGATACGGCTTTTTTATTTATTTTTTCTTGCGGGGGATAAAATACCATCTGAATATTTTCTCACCAAAATGCACTGGAAATAGGTTTTTTGGCTCATTGAAAAATCATTGAAATCTCTTTCATGCCTGTTCAGTTCTATTTCATAGAATAAACTGTGCAAAGAAAGACAGATTTCATCACAGGTTTTACAGGCAAATCATCCAGAGATAGATGGAGTCCTCTATCTTAATGGTAGTCGACAACACAACTGGACAATATCTGATATATTTAGAGGCCCTGCACACCCTCATGGTTGTTTGCAGTTTTTCTAGCTGATTAGATTTCTGCTTATGCTGCATTTAAGTCATATCTTAGATCTCTGTATTAATAATTCTGAGACAAGATATCAGGAATTTCTGACAGCCATGATTCCCATTTGGCAAACAGAAGAAAAATGACAGCAAAATTGGCAGTTATATATGGTTTTCCCGTGCTTCCCATTCTGCTAACATGATTTAAATGCAGCATCCTGTCACATTCACGTCACATGGGATAGATGGGATAGATGGGAAAGATTAATTGCTACTATTCACACTATCATTGGACAAGTCAAGATGGATGCAGAATGGGTTTTGTGGATGTTAAAAGTATTGAGCAATGATATTATATCACCATGTCATTAAAATATGGGTTTATTTACTTTGAATAATGGATTTAAATGGGCATTTATACTTGTTAACCTTGTCAGGCTGTGTTAAGTCAGAGGTATCTGAGCTTTCAGAGAAATCACAGCAGTCGTTGTGACTTGCCATAGTGGGAAAAGCACATGTCTGACTAATAATATTATCAATGGCTTTGTTATTTTTTAAGTGTCTCAGTAACCCTGCATTCATGTGATGTCGGAATAAGCAGAAAAATGAGTTTCTGGCTGGAAAAATTCCCGTGAATGAACAACAACTCAGAAAGTAAGCCAAAGTGTTGGTACAGAAGTTGCGGATTTGCCGTCATACATGTAGGAACATAACTGATGAAAGTAAATGTTCTGTAGATATTAATAAACTTTAAATTCACATATTGCATGTCATTTTTTTGCTCATATGTCAATTGTAACATGGTGTTAGGTGTATCCGTAAGTTGCTGTCCATGTAAGGTGACCAAGATTAGTTAGAAAGGTTGTTTATTAGTATTACTCAGGTAAAGCAATACTTCAGTAGTTTTAGAGTATGTACTAGTGCAGCAACAAGGCTTGGACAAAATCACAAATAAAGCTTCAAACTCTTAATTAAGTGTAGTTGAAACACTCTGAGCAATAAAATACAGCACATCTTGTTTGTAGTGTCCGTGTTGTTTCCACATCAAGCTCATGAACACACCAAAGCCACAAGAACAACTTCCCGATTCAGAAAATGGGACCATGCTCGGAGCAATGAATGCTGCATTAGCCTCAACAGTGTGACAGTGAGCCAGCACGCACAAAACCCGGACCCTCAAACTGAAACAGCTAATTGGAATTCAGCTGTCATTACTTCTTTTACTAACACCTGTGCTTCTCCTACTCTGACATGTCAAAATGAGTTCTGTGGGAAAAAAAGTTGTAATTGGTCCTACAGAAACAACACAACAGGAGAGTGAGCGTCAATCAAGGAAAAATCTATACACTCTCACACAGCCCCGATTGGAGGGCTAATTAGCACAGGTAAGTGAAATGACCTTTGTGAGCACACCACAAGTGTGCCGGACCCTTAACACACCCATCTTTTAACAAGTTGACAAACCAATACATTGATTTAATCCAAATTATGGGTCACTCTGTCAAAGAATCAGCCAATGAAATCAACAAATTTTTCCAGCTTAATGATTCGGTTACTGATGTTTGGTTGATTATATTTCTTAAAACACAATAGTTTGAATTGCTCAGTTTTCAGCATGCAGCATCTGTTACAACATAAACTTTCACACCTTCGCTCTTGCTCTCTGCACACAGTCTCTGGTGGCTGCTTCCAAATATAAATTACTATACTTAATCTTACCTTTCAGGCGCGCCCAGAGGACTATGCCAGAGACTTCTTAGCTCACCAGGTGCCCATCTCTTTCCATAAACACTGGAACATCGACCCCATTGAAGTTTTCAACAAATGGCTTAAGGAGGACTTGAGGGCTAAAGCTTCAGATGGACTTAATAAGAGTGCTAAGACGGAGTTATAATCATTTTAAGCACAAAACTAGCCTGTACGAGTATGTATGTATATACTGTGTGCGTGTGTGTGTGTGTGTGTGTGTGTGTGTGTCATGGAACTGACATATTGTCCTTCACAGATGTAAATGTTTTTGTATTGTTGATGTTGAACTGTTAAGAGGGACCATGCGAGCGTGTGTCCATGACTTTATCTGTAAGCGTCTTCATGACTGAGTTGCATGTTGAGGTTACTGTTATTTTGGAAATATGTGTATATTTATATCATATGAATAATCTGAACCTTACAGAGGAGCCTCTTCTCTGGGAGATACTGTACCTTTCAAAAAGTATCACTAATGCTGTACAATGTGCTCTATTTTGACATAAAAGTATAAATATTTGAGAATGTTTTGCTTTTCTTTTCCATCTGAGGCCCATTATAGGATTTAGTTTAAACCAGTTATGTATAAATTATGAAGCTGTTAAAGGTTAATTGAGGCTACGACTAAGATGGTGAAACACAGACTGTTTGGTGCAGCTAAAAAGCATTAAAACTCTCTAAAGCAAGCTGAAGGTTTGTAATTACTCCTAACATGTAGTCTTTAAAAGGGTCCAACTGCTGCTCAGGCAGATAAACGTCTTACCTTTACTTTAGGCTCAACTAAACACCCTCATTCATTACATTTTCGGCCAACACCATCTCTTTCTCAAAACTGTGTTTGACCTCAGTCGCAGGAAAAAAAGGGAGCATAATTCTGAGACGTACTGTCTTGTAAAACAGCTGATATCCTTAGGTGTGAGGTAGAAATGAGTTTTATCACCATCAGTACCTATTATTCATTTCACTTTTTTTCTCCACAAAATTAACTGTCTCAGATAATTAATTGGCAGACCCAATGATTTGTTGACCATTATTAAAGGTCTTTCAAAGACCTTGACCCTTGGTTGAAGAATTAAACCTTTCTCCTGGCTGTTTGCCATCTAAAAGAATTAATTTGCAGCTGTAATGCTTCATTTAAGAAAAAAAAAAGCTGCCTGCAAAGGGTTTAGAAAACCTTAGGATTATGAATTAATGAAAATTTGAAATGTTATTATGGGAAAACTCATTTTCAGCATGTGGAAGCCAAACTGTAATACAGAAGATGCTCCTCCACTCACAAACTCTGTCAGCATCGTGGTGCTAAATTTACACTGTCCTAATAGCACAGTAGGCCGGCTCGAGTTCATGAAAAGTCTATTAGCCTCAGGCATTTGAAGCAGTGCAATAAGTCAAGTAGACATCTCCTCACACACCTATGAATTGTAACCTATTTGCAGGAAACAAGTTAAATGCCTAGTGGGACTCACCCACACATAGAGTGATGAGTAGTGGTAAGACAGTACTTTGCACTAAGGGAAATCCTCTGCATAATTCTAATAGGTCCACACGACATGCTTGCTCCGCCAATATTTCTAGCGTGTCAGCAACAACATCACAGTCGGGTTTGTCTGGTGCTGAATTTTATACTTTTATCCTTGTCCAAAACAGTCAAACAGGAAGATGAGTGTTTCACTGCATTTCCTCCGAAGTACATCTTCTGTTTCTTGTTCGGCTAAGAGCCTGGGTTTTTAGAAACACTGAGGTTATGCACTCCATGCCCTCAAAAGAAAATTGAGCAGACGTTCAAGGAAAAATAGCTTTTTGGTGGAAGTTTGCTTTATTATATTTTCTGTAGAATTCATTCCCCTACAGAAATGTTTAAATGCTGTTTCAGAGCCTTTGCACACTAATGGGTATTATACTCCAAAGGGGAAAATACTGCATTCTTTATTCATATTTTATTTTGTTGGCTTAAAGAAATCATGCTTAAAAAAACACGCCATGTGTAAATGTGAACCGTTAACTCTCCTGCAGAGAAATTCCAATTTTCACAGAATGACTTCAGTGTCCTCAGCGGTGAGAGCACTGCAGTTTACAGAGTGACATCCGAACCTTGCTTAAAACATCAGCTATGCAGCTATGAATATGGTTTTGATGATCATTTTTGTCACTGAAGGGATTTTACATTATGTGCTTCAAAAAACACCACAGATGCCTGCAAATTACCCAATTCTAGTCATTTGTGCCACAATATTGCTCTCTGAACTGCTTTTGCAAATATGTTTTTTGCCTCTGGTATCATCATAATTCACATATCTCATCCAGTTAGGGGTTTTGTGATTTATCTGCTATTTGTTATTGGTAATAGTTGATAGCAAGATGCACGAAAATCAATCCACTTGTAGAGAAGAGGCAGAATCTTATGAGTCTTTAAGGTTTAACCTGACAATATTTATCATCTGTTAAGCTTTTGTGTCTGTTAAAGAGCTGATTGACTCAAACTGCAAAAACATCCTCTCACAGTTTGTGTTTTGTTTGTTCAGGTGTTTAGATATCTGCCTCTGAGATACTTTATACCAAAGCAGTAGTCCCAATGAAACTGTAAAGCATGTTTTGCAAATTGGCTGAACTAGCTCCTTAGAATTGCTGCGTGTTAAGTTAGGACAGGGGTAGGCAACCTCTTTAATCACTCTCCAGTGGCTCTAATGTATTACATTCTTTGTGAATGATTAATCTAAATTAATCGCATGCATCAATTTTTGCTGTGATAGTGTTTTTTTTTTGTTTTTTTTGGGGTTTTTTTGTTTGTTTTTTTTTTAAACTTTGGCAGGTGAGTCGTAAAGCTGCTGGATTTTGGACACAATTGTTCCCCTGTCCTTCACCACAGAAACTGGTCTGCGGTCCATTGCAGTCCATTTTGCAAGGGAGTTAGTTAGTCAGTCATAGGTAGTCTTACTCCGTTTGCATCTAAATGCCTGGTCGAGTGTGGCTTGACGAGACTGGCTGCTAGCGCTAGCATCAGAGGCTGTGCTAGCTCAGAACTCCGGGCGCGCTGCTAAGTGCTTTGCACTGAGGTGATATTTCAGGCCTGAAGTACTCCGATGGTACGAAAATTCCTTACTGCAGAAATTGCAGAGAACAATGCTCCTATCAATAGTTCCATCTGGGTGTTTTTTTAAATGTAAATATTCCTTTTACGGGACCAAGCAGCGTCATCTTGTCTGCTTCCATCATGTGACAAAGCCAATGTGGCCTTCAGTGACGCACCGGGTCAAAGGGCACCACGGAACATGATTAATAGGCGTTTTTTTAAACACTATTTTTTCTGTGATTGATTAATCAACATTAATGCGTTATTTTGACAGCCTTAGGTAAAATACTTCAATGAAGGCTCATTTAGACCTGTAAGTATTCCCTGCTCCCCACAAACATTGGCTCTGTTTATAATGTGTGTATAGTGAATTTTGAGCTGTAGTGAAGAGGTAGCACTTTGCAGACACTCACTCTCCACCTATTTACCTTTGTCCCTCCTTTAAAGCCGTTAACTAGATTACAAATTAGCTGTACAGAAAGCTCAGGTCCTCATCATATTTCACTGTCTGCCTTCACATAACCGGATTAATATTCACAAAGCATTACTTGAATAAAAGCATTTGTGAGTCGTGAAGAGTCCTGGCTGGAGAGCAGTTGGAAGATTCAGAGTTTTCAGTTTGGGGTTGTTTGAACATGAGTGCATTTTCCTCAGAGGATTCACTGTGACCAGCAGGGCCTCCAAAATGGAGCAGATGAGAAGAGCTGCCGCAGTCAGTGCCATCTCAAATCTCTGTCACAGTCGACTCAGCTGAGGCTTTTATCATCACTCAGTGATCTCACTTGTTGCCAATCTGTTTTCCATCCCTTCAGGGGAACAACAGTGACTGCAAAGATCTCTTTAGCAAAACAATTATGAGACATGAGCCCCAGAAACATAATTCTCCCCAGTTACAGTAGCCTAAGTGATCTCATTAGGTAAAAATGAAGCCTTTTGAACCATGTGCCGTACAATATAAGGATCACTCCTCCGTGCTAGCAGCGTGGCTCTGCTGGGATGGGCTACCACTTTGATCCAGTCTGAAATATCTGAACAACTAATGTTATTAGATAAATTCTCATGAAATTTTGTACTTAACTGTTGCCATCCCCTGACACCTGCACAACTAATGACAGCTCCATCAACCTCAGCTGTGTTTTGAGCTTAGTGCTAATTAGCACATGTTAGCATGCTAACAATGATAACAACATGGTAAACACATCTGCTTAACATCACCCATTAGCACACTTAAGTTAGCATTTCAGTGCACTGCAGCCTTACACAGCCACTAGTGTGGTTGTAGACTCATGGATGGATTACCAAATGCACACACTGCATACAGGCCAGGGGGGGCTCTAAGTGTCAGAGCCCCCCCCGGCCTTCATCTGCAAAAATGTCACTCAAATTTACCAACCAGGAAAGACTCAAAAAGAAGGAAAGGAACTGCAAAGACACACAAAACGATCAAAAAAGATGTAAAACTACTACAAAAAGATGAAAAAAAAGACAAAATTACATCAAGGTGACACAGAATGACACACACACTTACCACAAAGAGACACAAAACCACAAAGAGATGTATAACAGCTTCAAAGAGATGCAAAAGAGAAACAGAATAAAAGAGGCTAAACAACTATAAAGTCCCTGTGTCCCTATGTAGGAGAGGTGGCAGTGCTGTTTGCATGTCTGTGCCCAGGGCCCCACTGTCTCATACTCCGCCATTTTAGACATTTTGTGACATTTGTGAAAGAGCATTTTGTAAATTAAAATGAATTGCTTTCAAACCAAACTATAATTTAGAGTATGTATCCAAACATATTTCTATGTAGCGTATAAAAAATGTTGGTTTCTTTTGTAAATAATTTTAATTTCCTTTCCTTTTGATGCATACTTGCAGGTAATTCAATGAGTCAGGGAGCACGAATGTAGTAATCTGTGCCGAATGGAATCTTTTAATAATGAACACAAAGGAAGCAGTAAAGGTGTTTTTGTTTGTTTGTTTGTACATAATTTCCATTTAGAGCCCAGATTGAGTGTGCAAACCGATTCACGCATAGCTTTTTGTATTTTCATATTCCTTAATGCAAAACCACCAAGGATTACACTCCAAACCCTCTGTTACACACACATAAAGCCTGAGATGAGCCAGGCTGTGTTTGATTAGTCCAATCTGTGTAACATTGTGAACATTGTTAACAGTTTTATTATCAATGGGAAATTTTACTGGTACTTTCCAATAAATTAAGTACTGATTTTGAGCATTATGCATTCAGAAGGTGCTCCTCAGCAGGACTCATCTCTTTGCTTGTCTATTTGGAATAAGAAAATGATGATAATGAATGTTGGCAAGTCTGATGAATTAATTATTTTCATGTATATGTATAACTCAGTAGTGTGCTGTAAGGGTAATATGATTGTGCCTGCACAATTTAGCCTCGTAGAATAAACTCTGTCTCAAATTATATTACTATTA